GGAATAGAATATGGGATGGAATGGAATAGAATAGCGATAGAATAACAATAGCAATAGAATAGGGAATGGAATGGAATAGAATGGAATTGAATCGAATGCAGAATGGAATAGAAAAGAATGTGGAATAGAATGGAATAGAATATGGGATGGAATGGAATAGAATAGCGATAGAATAACAATAGCAATAGAATAGGGAATGGAGAATAGAGAGTGGAGTGGAGTGGAGTAAAATAGGACTATCGCAATTCCCATAATTCTAATTCTAATCATTCTAATCCTGTTCCTGTTCCATTCTATCCCATCCCATATTTTCTATAGAATAGGGAATGGAATGGAATAGAATCGAATAGCAATAGAATAGCAATAGAATAGGGAATGGAATGGAGTCAAATAGAATAGCAATAGAATAGGGAATGGAATAGAATAGCAATAGCAATAGAATAGAGAATAGAGAGTGGAGTGGAGTGGAGTAAAATAGGACTATCCCAATTCCCATAATTCTAATTCTAATCATTCTAATCCTGTTCCTGTTCCATTCTATCCCATCCCATATTTTCTATAGAATAGGGAATGGAATGGAATAGAATCGAATAGCAATAGAATAGCAATAGAATAGGGAATGGAATGGAGTCAAATAGAATAGCAATAGAATAGGGAATGGAATAGAATAGGGAATGGAATAGAATAGCAATAGCAATAGAATAGAGAATAGAGAGTGGAGTGGAGTGGAGTAAAATAGGACTATCGCAATTCCCATAATTCTAATTCTAATCATTCTAATCCTGTTCCTGTTCCATTCTATCCCATCCCATATTTTCTATACTGTTCTGTTCCTATTCCTGTTCCTGGGAGATGCGAGCCCCCATTGTTTCTCAATTTGGCCAATCAAGCACTCCCCTTCATCCAAAACTGGTTCTCCTCCTCCCCCCAAAGTTGACCAGTTTCAGCCGGACATGGATGCGGTGCCCGTGTTTTCCCAGCTCCATTTTTTTTTTAAAGGGGCACCTTTTTGTGTCCCCTGGATCCTCTTGGGAAATCCTCCCTTCTCTCCCTGCAGCCTCGGGATGGGGAGCCGGTGGTGACCAAGCTCTTGGAGGGCCCCGTCCACATCCAGGAGGGCCACTTCTCCCGGCCCCTGGGCAGCACGGATTTATTGAAGGCCCCCTCCCACTTCCCGGTGCCGGAGAGCCGAGTCGTGATGCGGGAAATTTCGGTGGTCTGGCATCTCTACGGGGGCAGAGATTTTGGGCCAGGGCGGTCCCCTTCTGGACACCTGCATTCCCCCAGGTAACTCTTTCCTCCCGGGATTTGCTCCCTGCTTTCGTTCGACACATTTCTGAGCTAAGTTGGAGAAAAAGGTCTCCTTTTTATGTGAATGGGTGTTTCTCAGCTACCGCTAGTCCTCAACTTCCAACAGGTCATTGAGCAACTGCTCCACGTTACAACAGCACTGAAAAAAGTGATGCATGGCCTTTTTTTCCACACTTAACAACCATTGCAGAATCCCCAGAGATGAAAATTGGGATGCTTTGGCAACTGGCTCGTATTTATGACTGTTTTTGTGGTGTCCCCATGATCAGACGATTAAAATTTAGCCACTTGGCAACGGAATTGTATTTATAACCGTCGTGGCGTCCTGGGTGTGTGTGTGTGTCACGTGATCTCCTTTTGCGACCTTCTGACCAGGGAAGTCAAGGGGGGAAAAGCTGGATTCACTTAATGGCCGTGTTGCTCACTGAAAGACTTCAGTGATTCACTTAGCAACGGTGGCAAGAAAAGTAGCACGGGGTGAAATTTGCTTAACAAATGTCTCCCTTAGCAACAGAAATGTTGGGCTTCCTTGTGGTCATAAGTCGAGGACTTGCCTGTATAAGATGGGTGGACTTCAACACCCGGAATTCCAGAGTCGGCAACGGTGGAGAATTCTGGGAGTTGAGGTCCACCCATGGTATAGCTGCCAACTTTGAAAATGCTGATGTGGGTGAAATTCCCTAATGCTGGCGAAAGATTGGCCAGATCTTGTGGGCGGGTGGTGGTGGTGTTAATAATAACCGATACCCGATCATCACTTTTTCCCAATTTCAGGACGAAATCAAGCCTTCCCAGTACCCGTTTCTCCCCCTCTCGGTCTTCGATGCCCAGCCGACCCCAGAGCTCCTGGCGGGCTCAAGGTGGCCCTGGCCGCATCCACGACCTGCTGATGGAAATCCAGCTTACAAAGGTGAGGCGGGCAAGGCCTCCTCTGCAGGGGCCTGGGGGGGAATGTATGGTTCCCAAGCAGCCTTGATTTGGGGGTCAGTTTGGAGGCAGCCAGAAGAGACAGGCTGGAGCCCAATATGTATCAGTGGGGAAGAGGGAAGGAAAGGGAAGAGGAGGGGAGAAAAGAGAGAGAAAAGAAAAGGAAAGACGAGAGAAGAGACAATAGAAAAGAGAAGAAAAGGAGAAAAAGAAGAGAATATATAACATAAGAGCAAAGAGAAGAGAAGGAGAGAGAGAGGAGAGAGAGAAAGGAGATGAGAAGAGAGAAAGAAAAGCAACAGAAGAGAAGGAATACAGAGAGAATAGAAAAAAGATGAGAGGGGAGAAAAAGGAGAGAAGGGAGCAAGGAAAAGAGACAGAGGAAAGAGAAAAGAGGAGAGATTTAGTTTAGTTTAGTTTTCCCTTTATTTGTATGCCGCCCTTTTCCCTGGGGGGACTCAGGGCAGCTCACAGTTCGAAAGGGGGGGGGGGGAGACAAACAATATTCCAACATGGAGACAATACAACATATTAAAAGAGAGCACAACAGTCACACAATTCGGGTGGGGTTAGAATCTTAACCCCAGGCCAGCCGGGAGAGCCAGATCTTTAAAGCGGCGCGGAAGGTCTTAGCCAAAACAAGGATGCCCTGGTAAAGAATGAGGCAGAGGTGGATGCCTTAATGGCCCAAGCGGAGGCCATGTGAGTTTTGTGGCAAGCCTTCTCCGACCTCTTGTCCTCAGCCTTCAATCCCTCCAGAAGATCAGCTGGTAGGTTAGAGTTAGATGTTAAGGACACTACCGGAGCATCCACTTCTGGGAACTTCAGAATGTCCTCCATTTTTCCCTCTACAGCATAAAGGGTCTTATCCCTCCCCACTGGGATTGGTCAGCGTGCTGGGTTGGACCCATTGATGCTGAACCACATCCATAAAGAGGTCAGGTACAGGGATGACCTCCTGGGTAGGCACCGTCTCTTTAAACAGCCCATACTTGTTTAGTTTAGTTTAGTTTAGTTTAGTTTAGTTTAGTTTATTTGTATGCCGCCCTTTTCCCTGAGGG